AATCGTCTATTTTCTGCATGCAGAAGTGGAACGTGGTCCGGTGAGTAGAACTTATGATGAGCAGTCAATGGTGGCATTTTACAGGAAACAGAAACAAACATGTCTTCTACGCATGGCTCCCGCACGTTAAATCTGCCGCAGTGCATGACTTTGTTGGTGCAATAGTAGTAGTATTAGTAGTAGCTAAGTGCATACAAATACAATGTATGAAGCAAAAAGCCACCAACCAACCTAAGGAAACATTAACTATCAAGGATGTATAGATCGAGCTATCTGGGCCATTAAAATGCTTTGTAAACTACCCACGAATGGATATTCAATGTCCTTTGTTGGTGGACTTGTCAGCTCTATTTACAACCAACAAAACAGCTTTGTCTTCGAATATTCGCTTGGGTACAGCGTGACCGCCCATAAATAACATTCGAGCCACTAGTAGCTACGCATTTTGGTCCACTAGTCCGTGACTTCCGTTAAAAAAAACTGAGGAGGATTATACGGTTGTGCTGGATAGTCTATGGTCTCGACACTAGGAGGAGGGGCAATAGTAAATGCTTAAAATGTCACTCCGGAAAGGGACAAGATGAAAAGGATGACGAGATGTGGCTATTTTGCTGAAATTATTGAAGACAGAAAGTGTGTAGACCTCCGTTTTTAATGCAACTGTTGGGTTCTGATTTCTAAATGACTAGTTTATTTAGTACTTACTAGAGTTTTACTTAAACAAAAATTGGTTAATCCAACTGTTGAAATAGGGTAGTGCTCCATATTTGACCAAGGGATTCGAAATTCTGATTTGCGATTACTTTAACACTCATTCAGATACGGTTTTAATCGTTTCAGAGGGCAGAAGCCACGAAGTAAGTTTAGAGAACGGGTTTCTCTGAAGAGAATATAAGTACTGGTTTATAATTTCGACATCAGTCTTTAAGAAATGACGGCTTCCAACAAAATATTAGCTGGATCAGATGGCACTGAGTAAATAATGGCTTTGCCAAGTGCGCCTGCTTTTCCACTTCATACGCAATATTACCTTGATGACTTGATGAAATCAGATAAAAAAAACAACTATAATTTTTGAAGTATCAGCTCCAAGGACAAGTGCCACAAAATGATGATTACTCGATGGCTTTGACAATAAGTATGCAGGTTGAGAGTGATGAGTTTTCCAGTATGATTGCACAAAAGGGCTCTTTTAATGCGCCTTCTTTTTAGCTACACTCGAAGACTGTTTCTGAATTCATATTGAAATTCCTTAAACGCCTCATATCACTCATGGGATTAACACGGATTTTAGCACATACTGCCCCTGCTCCGACCGCCGTTATGTTATATTTTCAAGTACCAAAATTCTCTGGCGTCTCTGAAAACCTTCAGTCCTTTCCTAGATGTTTATTCAGAACTACTTAAAAATTCCATCCAACGTTGACAACTGAAGCTCTTGAAACACTGTTTGTGTATGCTCTCATTCAAATTATCGAGAAGAAGACGACTTGATCGCTGGGACAATACTTTTATTCGCCTGACGTTTCCAGATCCGTCGCGGATTCGTCATCAGAGACAGAATCAGAGAGCAGAAGCAGATACGCGTGTTCAAATTATCCGTTGCCGAAGATAAAACCAAAGTGTTTACCCCATTACCAATGGTTTATGTGCCTTACGTTTGATTTCTTATTGTTTCCTAAACTAAACCGGTCGCATTTCTATTCTCATCTGAACCGAAGAAAACCTGTTACTTTAAGAAAATCCTTTTTACAACAACGCAGAGATGGTACGAATACTGAGTAGAGACTATGTTTATACTTTTATGCAACATGCACCGGAAATCAGGAAATAACGACCAAAGTCTGTAATCTCTTATCAAGTATAAAAGCCGTGTTAAAGAAACCTAGAGTATGTGGACCAAAAGCCGGAAACTCGCCCTTCCAGGGAGAAGTTGGCCAACCACTTAGGAGGGACTTGTTGATAAAAAACTTAAGAAGTAAATAGTTTGCAGTATTCATGGATCGTTCGTGAAACAAACAAAAACCTCAGATAAATCAAAGCGTAAAATACTTTTGGCACAGCACTGGCTGACGACGGTAAATAGGCCAGAAATGTCCACTCCAGTGTCCCTGTTATTGCCGGTAAGAGCCTGTCGACTTTTCGGTTAAGTCGGAAGCAGAGAAATAGACTGCGTTGCGGTATATTCACATATAACATGTTTATTAAGTATATGCTTATATGCACACCCATAGTCAACCAAAGAGGACCGAGAAAAAAATAATTACCAGCTACTTTTTCAAGAGAGCAAAAGGGATGGGTGCTATTGTCCACCAAACAGAAACCAAATTCCGCAACATTTCTCTATGCGGCTAAACCTCATCAGAGGGCGGATAAGCGATCTGGTAAGGCTTAGCAGTTTCATTTCTGCGAGTAACCGAAAGATTTACACGTCAGCGACAGCAGGGAGCTAGACACAACCTCACTGTCTTGTGACGCTACCCCATTATCAGTCACGGATACTAGCGGCTCACGTGAATATGACAACGCAAATGCCGCTCATTTTTTGTCGTCTCTCCTTTACTCCGAGATAGCCCCAGTGCTGGTGCGAAAGCTCGTGCAGCTAATCAAATGGTGGCCAGAGTATTTACCGGTAATTCTTACGCACAGCAGCCGAGCGATTGTATTTTTGCTCCAATTCTTTGTTTGTATTCAACTTTTTTTAGTGAACCAACTGCAAATACTGCGCTCTCACCCAGTTACATAAGTAAGTACTACAAGAGATTACAACAAGGAGTTATATAATCGTCCTCTTGGGTTAACGCCATTTAAACAGTGCCAAATGGTAATCCAAGTTTCCAAGTGACAGACGACCACATTTGAAACAGGTTTTTCTCCTCAAGTTATTTGAAATGTCACCTCTTCGATATCGAATGTAGCGGTCCCATTAGTTCCTTATAAGATATGTCTAGAATGTTGTCCATCGGAGAACAAGCTATAATTGCAATAATGTAGCTTGAAAGGGGTTCATAAGGCAGAAAATAGAATTCCCCCCTCAGGGTATGGGTAACAAATGCAGCTCAGGCGTCCACTCCAACTACTAAAGTCATCTCAGCGGACAGAGCTGAAAGCAAACCAACACAAAGCCGAGATAATTGTAAGCAGAAGTGATTGTGGTTTTGATTTCAGTATTCTACTACTTGTTCCATTAAACGAATTCATAGTTTTAAGATATCAGTGAGTAATGTTCCCTCGAATTTAAACTTTGA